TAATGCTGCTATTATATAAAATTGCATTTTCACACTGCAATAGAGGCCCTTCAGACTCTAGGGTAGTTCTTCTCTACCAACGTGAAGAGTTCATCTCAAGTGAGTTTTAAACACAGGTTGTTTAGTCAATTCTTTTCATTTTGGAAGATATATGTGATGACTATCACATATCCTCTCTGTCATTTCATGATTTAATTTGCCCCTTGAGCTCTGCTCTATGGATTCTTATCCCAATACGTCAGGCGCAAGCAATCCTCCAGAACAATGGTCAAGCGAAGATAGCAGTTGACTATTTCACTTGAAAGATTTATATTTAGCCAACCGGCTCAATCAAATGGAAATTTGGTGACCATAAAGCGCACGAAGACGTTGAGGTAAGACTGGAGGTAACTTGCGAGTGGCATATATAGAAGAATGACAGTCCTACATCGTGACCGCTCCTTAATACAGTAACACACTACTTGTTTAAGCCGTGCTCAAATACATGACTTGTTTCTTCGTCTTGGAGTCTCCACGCGTCTGCGGAAAGTCTGGACACCTGCGACACAATTAGAGACCCAGTTTTCCAGATTGTTGGAAACACCCTGCGACCACATTCTGATCAAAACTGACCAAATATCCCTCGGAAATAATGAACTCGTTTCCTGGAGAAATTGTTGGTAGTTGAACATATTTTCACTCCGCTGCAAACTATTTGCCTTTGGTTTGGTTTTCAGCCTTGATTTTGCTCCTCCGTACGGTTCCGCTCGAGGTCTCAGTCAGGTCTTTAAGCTTTTAGATGTTTGTTCTACAAGTATCGTTTAGTTCGTCCAGCTTTCGTGGAGGTTTGTGAGGGTCAAGTTGAAGCTCGCTCTTTTGTAGCTTCGTCCATGAAATATGTGTCCGCAGCAGCCATTCAGACCGGTGGGACGTCTCCGGTGTTTTGGGGAGGAGAGAACTAGCCGTCTCAAGGAGGACGGTATGATGGTTTTATATGGTCCTAAGTATCAAATATTTGTTTATACAGTTGCACACTTTATGACAAAAGTTAGCTGCAGCTACAGAGCGAGGCTATAAAGGCTAGATTGATACGCAGACCCCTGGATTGATCTAAATGGTAAGTGAATAGTAATACAATAATGTGGAATAAAGTTATGTAATACTAATACAAGCAAGACACAACAAGATGTTAGAACACTTTCAGCCACAACTGACAAAAGTAATGCAGGAAGTCTTTATTATCTGCGTCTGTTGGTAAGTGACAATTGAAATGAGACATTTGTCTCCATTTTTTCCCCAAAAAGAAACCAAATACGTATTTTTAATAAAATATATGTATTTGAAGGTCCCACTTTTGATTAGAATTGGCTTAATTTTAATTTAGACTGGAAATAAATTGTTACAATTCAGATTGCACCGAATCTTATGTGTCAGTGTTGTGGTTGTCTGCCAGAAGCTGTCACACATTGACTGTTTATCCAGTCTGAAGCCACATTTTTACCATCCACTGTTTAGATCTTGGTGCTTTTTGACTGATTTGAACCGGATGAAGGATTTTAGTCGTCGCATATTAAGCGTTGAGCTGTTTTACTTCACATGAAGCGTTCATATCGCTCTCTTGAAACCAACCAGACTCCTTTGAAAGAAACTCTCAGTAACTCAACTAACTCATTGATCAACGAACACAACACCAAACCCATCGGACTGAACGTATCAGAGATCAGTCTTAGTCGGCAGGTCCTTGATGAAGGAACCAGGCTTTTATAGGCGGGAAAGAGCTGATCACCTCTTTATATGGGTATTTACTAGTGGATGCCCTCTATTGGTTGAAACCGGCTACTGCAGTTGATTTCTGCTATCATCAGGTGACTTATTGGCCGCCGCTGTACGTCTGCGGAGGTCACCATATTGCTGAGGTCAAGATCTGCTAGTTAACAATGCTGAGAGATTCAGACACATTTTTATGATAGTTTTGTTATAAACGTGAGAAACTGAGCGTCACACTGGTTGCTTGTTCAAATTAATTTAGTTATTGGATCTTATCTTCAAACTATCTCAAAACTTTAAGCTTCTGAACGACCACAACTTCCACTGGGACGTCAAACCTTGCTTAGCAAACGTTACAACACAGGTACCAAACACAAACTTTTACAGTTTCAGTGGCGTCTAGTGGCTGTAGTAGTTGCAACTCACTCGCTTCACCTTCCCCTGCCAACCACGAGGGGGAAATTATTCCCAAATTCCTACATTCAGGTGATTATGAATATTATATTTCAAAAGATTCTCCTCAATGTGATACACTGGAGCTTTAAATCAGCAGGTGAGATCATCCTGATGTCTGAGCTTTGTTATGTTAAAATAAAAACTGTAAAAATGTTTATTTAGAAGAACGTAATCGAGACTTTAGGAGTCTGATTTCGCTCACAGTGTTTATCATTTGGAGGAGAGGTCGAAGGTTGTATAAACATGAGTTTCTCTAATGGAGCACATTACTGAGCAGAAGTGATTTTTTTTGCTGTTAACAGAAACTAAATAAGAGAGAAGAACCAAACTAAGAATGGAACTTTAAGTGTGTTTGTGCCAGAGAGTAAAATACTGGAGGTCTTAAAATGCCTGAAAATGTTGAGATCTACCTGGTGATATATGCACACAAGCTTAGGAGGAGCTACAATAATAATATTATTATATTATAATTAGCATCGTCCTGGAAAAATACATTTCCACACATACATTGTTAAATATGGGAACAATATAACGGGGATGTGACCATAAAGGGTTAAAATAATGTTGCAATCTGTGTATTCCCCAAATGATTTTGGTGAAGAAAGAAATAATAATTTTGTCATGTAATTATCATAATAAAACATCTGCCAAAATCACAGGTACACACACAAACACACACACACACACACACACACACTGCTGACCTTTCACAATAAATCTCCCTCTGCACAGTATTGATGTGTGTGTGTCTAAACAATCAGGGACCGGGAGGAGTCCCTCTGCTCTCTGTTGGATAAAAGATGACTTCAGATCCAACCAATCAGTGCGTCTGATCTCATCACATGGATGGATGTTGTTTTCCTTTTATTAAAGCTGAATATGAGGCAAAACTGTTGAGTCTAACTCTTAAATTTTGACATACACTAAGAATAATTAGTGATAATTTACTTTTAATCTTTAGAAAAAACATGCAAATTAAAATCTGTATTTCATAAATTGTTAAATTAAATACAAAATTAATCATTTAATATTTTCAAGTGCAACAATTTAATTTTCAAGCAAACAAATAATGAAAAATTGGGTTCACAGCTCAATATTTTTTAAATAACTGTCAAAAAGTAAATGTTTTTATCTACAGAGGAAGCGGGTCATTTTTCTACAGTAGCCCAGAACGGACAAAATCTGCAACTTCACCACTAAAATTTTTACATTGTTGTGTTTGTACTTTTACTTTAAAGCTCCTACAAGGAACTTTCATTTTGTGTTGATTCTGGCGCCCCGTGTGGGCAAAAGTGGTAGCGTTTCTACCACCTTGCTTCATTGATTTCAAGGGGAAGCCGACCCCGATGATTTAAGAATATAGAAATCTTCTCTCTGTTGTCTGTTTATGTAGCTCATATAGACACATCAGTATTATATTTAGACTCTTTATAACCAGTTAAAATCTCCTTGTAGTACGTTTAAGT